TTAAGCAAAAGGACAGCATAAACCAGTGTTGAAGAAGGAGGCTTGGTAGAGAAATCTTTAATAACAGTGTTTCAGCCAACTCATTATGCTATCTCGTACTGTACCTCTTTCTTCCAAAGAGCTCAAGTTTATGCCAACTTGAGCTCTTTGGAGGAAAGAGGTACAGTACAAGATACCATAATGGTATGGATGGTTGCACCTTACTGCTTTGAATGTATTTTTGGTGTTGCTTTTGTTTGCTGTCTTTTAGTATGATACCTATTTAATCCTTTTTGTTCTCTGTATACTACTGGTATTAGTTTTCAATATTGTCTTTTTAATAACGTAAGCCATTGTGGAGAAAGGTGGTGTAATTTTAAACAAACAAACAAACAGCCCCCTCCCCAAGACGGCTCATTCAATACCTTCCCTGGTTGAGGTGTATTTTTCATTATCACAATCATTCTAATTACGTAAGTGAACCTGAATAGTCTGTGCAGTAACATAAGCCTTGAAGAGTGAAATATTAGAACTTTGTATTATGAGCCCCATGCAGTTGCCTTTGCTGTGTTTCAATTGTGTTCTCTACGTTAGACAGCAGTAAAGAAGCATGTTTCCTTGCAGTAAGAAGCAGGAGGTTGTTCTTTCTGCAGTTACAATGAACACAGCAAGGCCCATCCTAGAAAAGGAACCCAATCACAAGTTACAATGAACACAGCAAAATAATTCAAAGTTTAAATGGTGAAATAAAGAGATAATGAACAGTGATCTGAAAATGTATCTAAGTTACCTTTCACTCTTTTAAAACACAATATTCAGAATCATAGTGGCTGTGGTTTCTTCTTTTTCTTGAGTCTCTGATAGCAAAATATGAAAATATTCCTACAGTGGAAGAAAAAGCACTGTGTAGTCTATGTATAGTTTGTTGGCTGGATGACTGTCTCAGCCATAAATCAGACCTAATATCTGATTTTTCCCAATGTGTGCATCTGATGGTTGTTGATATGGTTGTTGTGGGTTTTTCGGGCTCTTTGGCCATGTTCTAAAGGTTGTTTTTCCTGACGTTTCGCCAGTCTCTGTGGCCGGCATCTTCAGAGGACTGGAGTAGGAACTCTGGACACAGATGCCAGCCGCAGAGACTGGCGAAACGTCAGGAAAAACAACCTTTAGAACATGGCCAAAGAGCCCGAAAAACCCACAACAACCATATGTTCAGAGTCATTTTCTATATATTGCATTACTTAATCATGTAAAAATTCCGTGTTATCAATAATACAATATAGGATTAGGAAGAGAACTCTACCTTACCCAGTCCATACATATGGTTTTGATATTAAGTTGTCATATAATTACAATACATTGCAGTAGTCAATGAAATCAAAGCTTAGATCACTTGAGATAAACTTGAGAGGTACTTAAAAGTAAATATCAGAGAGCCGCTTTCTCTGTCCCTATTCCCTCATTTTACAGTACTATATAGAAAAACAGTCTTAGGTGAAATGACCTTTGCACTCCTTCCCAATTCTGTCCATCTATATGGAAGGACCTGGCTGCCCGTTGGGTATATATAAGATGGAATAGTAGATTCAGTTGCCTCTACTCCAGTGAACACAGAAATTTTAGACCTGGATCCCTCACTTTGTCATCAACAACCAGTGATCTTTATAATAGCAGTGAAGCTGGAAATAACCACAGCATAGGTTAGCTATACCCCATCCATGCAGCCAAAAATGCCTTTGCTAAAGATGTAGTTTCAAGCAACTGCAGGTTTTTTTTAGTACTTTGGAATTTGTAGAAAGCCTTTTAAAAAACATATTAATCTATTTTTGGTCTAGGATTCACATGTAAATTAAATGCTTTTTAAAATATTGTCTGTAGCCCTGAAATCCCCTCCCCTGGTGTCTCATGTATCATTTACAGATGGGGAATAACTGGTTTCACCACAATAATTAATTAGAAGCATCCATCAACAGTGGTTAGTTGTAAAAACAAAATGCTGAGATGCCTTCTAGCCTGGATGATTGTAGAAAGAAACACATTTGTCTACCTTCTGCCTCCACATGTTTATAGCTCCTAATCTATAGAAAGCAGAAAGTAAGTTTACAAAATAAAGGTTTGGAAGCAGGAAGGGAATTTTTATGTAATGAAAGTTTGAGATATTGTGGTGCTTAAATTCTGTCAGTGCTCATGTTCAGCTACATGAATAACAAGAACATTAGCATTATTCAAAGGGACAGAATATATTTCGGCAACATAAAAGCATATATGAAGAAGTGAAAGTACAGAGCAGACCTTTGTATAGAGTGAGATGACCAGTTGACCATCTTAAGCAACAACTATTGTGGACAGTATTTGTAGCCCCCCTTCCCCTGATACTCTTAAGCATCCTGGCCATTGCACATTATTTTTAAAATCAATTGATTATCCGATTTTAAATTCTGAACTTTAAAAAATAGGAGAAAATAAATAAATGCAAAAGGTAAATAATCTTAAATTATGAACTGGCCAGTATCTTGTTACATACGGTAGCTTTGCCTGCATAGTGAGAGTGATGTCTCCAGCTGTGGCAGACTATCACTAATTAAACAGTTCTGTTTTCAGTTTCAGGATATATACAACTAGCGCGTGATGATGCCAAGAAAGCCTTGATACTAGCCACCATCTTTTATTTTTTTGCTAAAGGGCTGTATCTGTGTGTGACAAAGAGAGATAGATATGATGGTGAAGGAGATGAGATGATATGAAAATGTCCTCAAAAATGAAAAAAAAAGGTACCTTGCAAAAAGTTTGGGAAACAATACTTTAGATTTTGACACTGAGCAATTTTCCCTCAGTTAAGACATGGGATTGTATAAGATACACTAATTTTTCATTTCACCAAATTCTGCCATCATGTTTAGTGGTTTCCAACAAACTACAGTGGTTGATTCGTTTTTCTGAAGATAAAATTACCGTATTTGCCGGCGTATAAGACAACCCCCCAACATTTCCACTCAAAATATAGTTTGTTATATACTCGCTGTATAAGACTACCCACTCTTCCACACACCAAATAAAAGGTGCCATTCCTTGTCACCATTGTATGGCCGCAGTGTGACTGCAGCGCCTTCAGCCCGCCCCTTAAAAGGTGCCATTCCTTGTCACCATTGTACGGCTGCAGTGTGACCGCAGCGCCTTCAGCCCGCCCCCTAGTTTCCCTGTGACCGGCACTACTGCGCAAGTGCGCATGTGTGAGCTCTGCATAGACAAGGGGCGGGCCGGAGCGCTGCTGCTTCCCGCCGAGCAGAATGGGCCGGTCACGTCGAAAAGGCTGGCACCCCTGTCTCGCTGCTGATGCTCGCCGCGGCTGTGCTGGATACCGCACGATACTGGACGGTATGTAGAATGAGGTGGGCAGGCATCAGGAGGCTACTATGGGCACCGGGCGAGCATCGGAAGGCCACTATGGGCAGCTATGTCTATCCCAACTGAAGTGCCCCCGGCGTATAAGACGATCCCCCCCCCCTTGGAGGCATGTTTTTCAGGGCAAAAAACTAGTCTTATACGCCAGCAAATACAGTAGTTTTTTTCACCTCAGCAGCAATGTCCTAAGCACTCAAAACTGTTCGGCCGCATTTTGGCCGACACATGTGAGCATCTGTCAGATCCATAGCTCCTGGACCATGAAATTCTTGACATTTGACATGCACAGTAAGGGCACCACAGGAGTGTATATATCATTATTAGTTCATGTTCATGAGTGCAGGGATTAGGTTGGTCTAACAAGTGAAAAAAAGTCTATCCTGGGACACACAAAGCTAACAACTGAAGTTTAACCTCACCTCTAGGTTTCCCAATTAGCAGATGAAATAAATTATAAACCTGCTTCTCAAGAATACCATACTAGATGGTGGCTCTTGAGACATTTAGATCCTTATATATTTATACATGGGCATATTTAGAAATTAAAAATAAGTGAAAAGCTGGATAAAGAGCTCTTTCTTGAACAGAGTAGGGAGCTGCCAGGATCTTTGTCTTCCTCTGAGAAGTCTAGGCTGAAGAAGAGAAAATGCAAAAAAATAAGACAAGTAAACATAGACAGGCTGTGGAAAGTTCCTTTTATACCACGGGGAAGGGAAATAATACTTTTATGAACAGTCTCTTTTCTCTCTCTGGACATTTTGCAGAAAAGCAGAAAACCACCATTACCAGAACAACAGTAAGAGCACTTGACAAACAATAAGACTTTGTCTGCAGATTTGATTCCTTTCTTTTCCATCATTAACTTAAGGCCAGGAATTTTCCCCCACTATAAAATGTTAAATTACCACATCAGAGTCACGAAGATCTGTTATCACCAATTACTATCTTTGTAATGGTGGTTTTCAGCTCTTCTGCAAAAAGTCCAGAGAGAGAAAAAAGACTGTTCATAAAAGTATTAGTCAGTGCACTTACCATGGAATTAGCAGAAACTCACCTCCCCCCAGTGATGGGGCTTCAGGGGCTGGGGCAGATTTTGATTTATTTTATTGATTGGTCATCTAGTGTACCACCTAAAATTAAATTTCCATTTCTGTTGTTAAGTAGGATCATGTTTTTCTTCGTTGTAGTGTGAGAAGGAACCAGTGTGTTCCCACTAGAACCATAAATAGGTTCAAGTTATTGTTTTCAGTGAGAGAATTGTGACATAAGCTATTACTGGAGCTTGAAATCTTCTCCATATAGAAACAACTAACCTAATTATATTTGCATAACAACGCCTGTATTACTTTTTAACCTTGTTACCACCAGCAGACTTTGAAGCTTCTCCAGTGCCTTGAAATTGTTTTTCTACACTGTGTTTAAAACATCTATGGAAGTCAAGTGTCTTAGTCTTTTTATAATTGATACTAATAAATAAAAGGTATTGCAATGTTGCTACTCTGGATTTGTTTCCCTTATAGAACAGCACAACTGTCTGTAATTTCTGTGCTCATCATACATCTGAGCTTTGCATATGAATACTAAAGACTGCAACCACTCATTTCATGGCTTTTGGGCACCAGTGTTTGCATTTCTTTTCTTTATATTAATGTATCAATCAACTGTAGATTAGACAAGAATCCAGTTCATGTAAGCTTATGCTACAATACACACTAATCTTTTAGGCACCATATAACAATTTTCATTTAAAAGCATTTCAGTTCTAATTTTTAAAACTTTTAAAATTTGATTCTGATTGAATTGACAAGTGTACAAAAAGGCACAATTACAAAGACAAGTCACAACCAAATCCAAAACACAAAAACAAACCAAAAAACTCATCAACAACACACACAAAAACACACACCTCTAAGGCACTTTCAAATACTACTAAGCATCTTACTCCCTAGTGATAATCAAGGAAATATCACTCTGTGTATCTACTCAATAAACAGTTATATCCTGGTTGAAACTAGACAAGCATACAGTCTGGTATGTTGCCAGTACAGGGAAAAATCTGATAATGCATCACATCTATATTTGCAGTGCAAACAGTTGCTTCAGCCGCATCTACATTAGTCTTACTTTGTCAGATTTGAGTGAGCAGAACAACGAAACCAGATAACTGCCTTGCTATACTCTATTTTCAGCTTCTTGCTTACTGTAAATATTCTTTTCTGTCACTAAAAGTCATTCCAACAGTAACTGTATGGAGGTGGAAGTTAGGACTACCTTCTGGCAGCAAGGTGGTCTGGCTACCTAAATGTCCAGGGAGGGTGGGTTGGAATAACCAAAGATGTCTTCTACGAAAGCTAAAGATTGCTTGAAATGTTGAACAGTTCCTAATAGAAAGCATTTTTATTTTTATATATGTGAAGATTGAGTCCAGATTATCTTGTGCTCTACCTGCATGTGCGTTTATTCCACAGCATGTCTATGCACAGGGAAACCATGATATTATCAAAAGGAAAGCAGATTGTGACATTCTTGCCACAATATATTTTCTATTCTCTTTCCTATACAAAAGTGATCTCCATGAAAAACATACTAATATTTCTACGGAAAACAGATTAATATACTTGTCAAAGATCTGTGATGGTCTGCGCAAAGGCTCCTACTACCAGTTTCTGAGATGATAAAAACAGTGCAAAATACCAAAATAATGTCAAATTTAATATCACATCAGAGGACAAATATCCAGTGCTGAATAATTTTTCTCTATATATCTTGCACCAGGAGGAATTCTGTAACTGAGCCATTACGCCTTGAGTTTGTAAGTGGAAAGAACCAGCTGGACAGACTGATAACCTGTATTTATAAGCAAGTTCTTTTGAGTATATTGGGATGTAAGATTAGAATCCTAAATACCCTTCATGCTATGTAAAACAAATGTGTGAGGCTGTGGTCCTGTCACCTGCGATAAAGTGTACACAGAGTGATAATCATCGGGATACTTATACAAAATAAAAATTTAAAATCAACAAGGATTACTTACAAACAAAAAATTTAGATTGGACTAGAATTCTAAAAAAATTCAAATTAGCACTTAGTTGGAGAGGTTAGCTTCTGATTTAGAAAACACTTGTTTCCATGGCATGCTTTAAGATGGGATGGGCAAAGTGTGGCTCTCGACCACAATTCCCAACACTTCTCATTATTAGCTATCCTGGCTGGCTCTGATGGGGGCTGCAGTTCAACAAAGGCCCATTTCTATCCCTTTGCCTACCGATACTAGAAAAGTGGCTAAACTTCATTCCAAACTGTCTTGAACCTGCTAAATAGAGTAATTGCTGAGGAGTACATAATTAATTGCTTTATTGTGATAGCTGTATAATGCACCATATTAAAAGTAAAAAGTATCTACAGCTGCAGTGGTAGCATACAAAATCACAAATGATTCTGGAACAATCTGTGCCTAAACAAATATCATATGGAAGAAAAGTCACACCGAACAGGGATTAAAAAAAATACAATCTTATTTAAAATGATAAAATAAACTATTTCAAAATGTTCTATTCGCTTTAATGGGCTCCTTCACATTCTAGAGCATAAAGTATGCCCTAGAGTCATAGAAAGCCTCATGTCTTGTCACAAAATATAGAGAAACTGTTGCTACAATGCCCTTTAACTATATTACTGGTCCTGACTGGTATCTTTATCAGCAGACTCTTAGATCATTTTCCAAGCTGTAGATCTTTGATTTTAAATTTTTCAGTTCTCCTTGAATTTTTTTAGTTCTCTTGTTCCCCTGGCGAACTTCATGAAGAATCGCAAGGTCTTGATCTGGACCCACCATCATGGCCACCTGAAAGGGGAAAACAACCGCAACGGAGGGTTATTTCGAAATGTGAGAAATTAGATGGTTTCTGAAAACAGAATATGAAGAATACTTATGAGTAAATACCGTATTCCCTGGAACACATTTTAAAAAAATAGTTATGAAAAAAGTCACAGTGTAGTACATTGTCTT